CCACGATGCATGGGGGGGGAATCTCAGATCCCTTTTTCATCTCGCAGTGCTTGTTATTTAGAAGCTGATTAAGAAAAGCAATAACAATGCCCTATAATGACAATTACTAAATTAATCTACAGTACTTTGAAAGATGACCATGCCACTTTGTCCCAGAGGTTTTATTTATTTTATACTTCACTCAAGGCGCTTAACTCGGTTTAAAAAAACGGTGATAAAAATCTAATAATTTAGATGTCAGGGCCACGCAAGGGCTAAGGAGTGGGTGGCCGCAATAGAGGAGGCACTGAGGGGTCGGGGGAGGGGAGGGGAGGGAGGAGGCGTGGGGAAGGTGGAGGATGGCTAAATAGAGAAGAGGTTGAGGCTTTCTGAGAGCAACGAAAGTTAGGAGGTTCAGGAGGGGGGGGGGCTGCTTAATGTGCCGGGGGAAGTGTGTACTGGACTAGAAAATGTTTTAGATACACCGTACAATAGAGATGATTGCCTTATAATTTTCCTTGTGCGTACAGAACTGGGCTACGGCCAAACCCATCTGAAGCCCTTCGGTTGGAGCTCTGATCACATTATGTGTGATGCCACTGATGGGTTTGCCACTGCATCCTCCCACGCGTATACCGATGCATTCTTCCGCACGCACCACTGTATTCGCCCGCCTGTACGGCTGTCGGGGTGAAGTCCAGCACCAACGACTGTAGTAGTATCTTAGGCAGGATTAGTGTTGGCTTGCCGGTTGTATCTTTCGGTGTACACTCAGCGTGAACGCACGGGGGTTTCTGACTGCAGTATATAGCTGTGTGGGTGAACTCCCTCCTTTCGGAATGTTGATCCAAGGGCATGGTAGTAAATGTGTAGCTTTAAAGTAAAGCTTTAAAGTAACAGTTGTAGGCAACTGATACTTTATAAATCGTACACCGTAACCCTTACATATGTTGTATACAGACTTGTCCTCAATCCCGTGTTCGTCCAGACATCACTCGTATAAATGATACGTGCTATTTCATGGTCGTATCCATCTTGCTTATTCACCCCGTTTTTACTGGACCGATATGAAATGTGAAAGAGGAAGAAGGACACAGCTGCAGGACGGTTGACAATGTTACGTTGACTCGTTACGCCATTGGCATCAGCTCGTGCAGCACTGGCGGCAGGCCCGTGTTCTGCTTTCCAGAGGTGAGCGAACCAATCGTGCATGCAGGCTCTGCTGGGTGTATCTGAAACGCTTCCTTGCTGTGACCCCAGCAGACACGAAGCGCTTTGGTGACGGGCAGCCTCGTTCGACCCGGCGCAATTTTTTGCACAGCTTTCTCGGGCCTGACCCAGCGGGGGACGATGCCTCCATCGCGCCGCATATCATAGTTCGCCGCAATGGAGTATCCGCGCACCGCCGCGCTTGTGTGCGTGGGCACCACGCAACTCCCAACCTGCTCTGCCAGGTGCGGTGTAGTTCCACGCTTGGCCGCCCCGCACCGCGGTGCGTGATAACGTCTCGAAAGGCGGAGGGTCAGGTGAACGCCGCCTGTCCGATGAGGGTAAAAATATTGTTGACCTTATTTATAATTCAAGCAGCGCCTGAAAGTCACCGGTTCACAATGCGCCAACCTCAGGTGACTCGTACGGCCATTTTCACGTTGTGTGCAGAATGTTCCCGCGGTGTTGGGTTCAGCAATTCGGCTTCGTGAAAAAGTCGACCATTGCTTGCCTCCGTTGTCAGGGGCAGGCCCGGCAATGAGATAGGAAAACGGCACTTGGCTGTGTGTGACATACGTCAGAGCTGCACGCTGGTACCCCCAGCGTGATCAGCACGCCCGTGTATGCCATAGTTCAAAACATTCTGATTAAGAACCAGGTCGTTGGATTCTCCAATCACTCTTGCTATTTTAGACTCGTGCTATATTAGACTCATGCTATTTGTAACATTATCGGTCGATCTAATTTGTATTTCGTGGAAGATAAAAACCCACTTCTGCCTTTTTTTAGTTACAAGAGGAAGTAATGCGAGCGGTGGCTTATGCGAGTTGCATAAGCAGGCGCACGCAGAAGCACGATGTGACGTGGCTGATACCCCTACGCGTGATGATCACATGCTGCTGCTCGACTTGTGTTTTTTTTGGAAAAAGGAATTTGGTGGTTGGTGATTTGATTGAGATGCACCTTTTGCTCGGCCTCGATTCTCTCGCACGTCCTCACGGGGCACACTTTTGCACGCGTATTTTGTCTCCATTATCCATTTTCTGTTCAGTGGTCAACGGAAATGAAATCTGAAAGGTCTCCATCATTGTGCCCCGCTTTCAAAAATGCGGTGCGGCCGGTCTGTTTTACGTCTTGTATAAAAATGTAAAAACACATTTTTATATCTTGCATACTTTTTATTCCCTTGAAATGCACTTGCCGCTCGCAGCCTTGTGCCAGCAGTGGAAGTTCCGTATTGTTATCTCGGCTGCGCGTTTTCTCCAAACCATGCTACTGGTTTTATCAACCCCGGGAAGGATGATTGTCCCGAGTGGATGCTCCGAACCGGTTTTTAACTCGCTACCCCCTGCCATAGTAATACCTCCTGATTGTCAACTGCTCGCTCTACCGCTGAGTCACCGGGCTGGATGCATCGACATTTTGGTGAGGCCCAGTGAGTTAGCATGGCTCAAGGCTGTAAACTACAGATTTGTCCAACCAAAATGGGATAATATTTGTCTGGTAAAGAAAACTGAATGCATTATTCAAATTAGTTATTGAAAAGCATTTTGTGCTGATTTAGCATAAATATAACCGTAGCAAATTCCTATGCTGAACTGTAATTTGTGTACTATAATTGGAATAGTTTGCTCTCTAACACACATGCACCTTGCCTGTCCATATGAAGTCATGCAAGTTGGTGGAGAATGTAGGTTAATGGTGTAGTAAAAGTCATTCAATGCTCTGTCATTGTTGAGAATTTGGTAATGGCGGTACTGCGTTTGATGTTTGCCAAGCTATCGTTGCACGGCGTTCTCAAATCTGGCCCTTATTGTGACCCTATTTTCACGGCCAGCTGCAGCTCGTTCAAGCTTGTCGCAGAACTGCTTTGTGTTTAGTTTGTTGTCCTTCCCCCTGCACTTCCGATTAGCACGGTCGGCTACGTACCGTGCGAAAGAAGTTCAACGTACATACAGACGCAACTACGCTAGTTTCGGTAGAGTATAATGTCGACGTGTGTTTATATTTGCTGAGTGAGACCACATGCTAGACAAAGGAGGCACGTATATTATTTAGCTTCTAAACCGAACGCGAGGCAGACGCCCAGTCCACAGGCAGCGGATAAAGGGAAATGTCTCGAGCCGGACCAGGACGGGGGGGGGGGGGTGCAGGGAGTCGAGAGCACGGAGGGCTGGGCGGACGAGGCGGACGAGGCTGAGCGATGGTCGGCGTGGGGGGGCCCGCTGCGAGTGGAGGTTCTTGCGGTTCTTCTGGGATTGGATCGGGAGCCGGTGGAGGGGGGACGGGGGGGGGGGCGGAGGGCTCCTCCTCGCCACGACGATCTGCTGTGCGCTCTCCACAACTGTTGTAACTATATAATAGTGTATACGGGGGTAATGTATATTATTGATACATCGTATTGTTCTTCATACACACTAACGCATTTTATTAAAATGCTGTGACATATCCATACTCGCCCCTGCCATGGTAATGCGGAACTTCCACCACATGCTCAAGGCTGTAAACAGGAGATGAGCACCGCCTGGATGCTCGCTTGAGCAGGAAATCGCGGATGCTCAGTGTAGATTTTGTCGTCGAAACGCTTCACTGTACACCCATGGGGTCTGTGGAAAGCCCCTTTTGGGCACCGTCTCTGCGCTCCCAGCTGGCCGTCGTGAGCAGGGCTCGAAGGACTTTCTCCCCCCACCACGCCCCAGCCCCCCTCTCGAAAACTCATACCACATCGTATATCTACAGCAAGACGTTAAATTGGTTCAATCTAGTTTCTGGAAATGCGTGTTTTGTATTAAAATAGACCGACAGTGTTTGCACAGCTAGAAAAACGAGTAGAGTGAGGTCTGATGATTGTTTTCAGACATTGGATTGTTTTGAACGTCTTGGTAGAATCACCAGGTCACCTTTGTAACTCAGAAGGCAAAGCTAGGACACTGGATTACCATGTAGTTTTAATATTCACGTCAGCCTCGCCTTTCATACACACGCACACGTATGTATGTTGAACTTCTTTTGCACCGTACGTAGCCAACCAAAGACAACAAGCTAAACGCAAAAAGCAGTTTTAAAGAAATAGGTTTTCAATCGAGATGATTTCAAAGTGCACAGCTCCATGGGCTTCCTGTGTGGTGTGCACGGAGTCGCCATTCTGCCACTGTTGATGTGCCCCGCTCCTCTTAGTCCCATCGACAGTGCCGCTGTAGGACTGATCACGGTCCTGTGCATATCACAAACAATCACTGGGGGCAAGAGGAGCCTGTCTGGAAACGCTCTCGCTTGGCTTGTCACGAGGGAAACCTTCATCCTGAGGGAGCAGATTTACATTTGAATTTTTAAACGTGCATCTCCGCACCGGTGGTTCTTGCTCATTTCATGAAGGCAGGAGTCATCGACCTGGCCAGTCTCGACGACTTTTAAACAATGAATGCATCTCTGTGCTGCCATGGCGAGTCATGCGTGCTTTGTGTGTTTTGTGGGGGGGGAGCGGTGGTGCAGCGATTTGGCACTACGCACTGGACCTGGCAACCAGCGCTCGATTCTCGCTCACGGATAGCGTCGGTGACGATTATCTTAACCAGTCGTGGGCCTCCCCTAGGTCGACTCGGCCTTAAATGAGTACCTGGTGCGGTGTGTAAACATCACCACGGGGGACGAAGGCGGCCGAGCGCGTTGCTGGCCACCCACCTCCTCGTGCGCCGTGCCAGCCCGCGCAGGCGCTACTCGCCATAACGGCACTTGTCTCCACGGTTTGATGAAGGCCACGTGCGGGGATCTTCGCCTGTTCACCCGTTCACCCTCTCTCCCCCCGGGTGCAGATGATGCGTCCGGCGGTCGTGGCCGCGCTGCTGACTGCCGTGGCCGGCAGCATCATGTGCCCCGACGGACAGCAGTGCCCCGACGGCAACACGTGCTGCTTGTCCGCCGAGCAGGGATACGGCTGCTGCCCCCTGCCCGCGGTACGCTCGACACAACCAACGAGGCCGCCGACGCACGAAGAAGCCCAACCTGGCAGTTTTGTTGTTGTTGCGCTCTGCAGACGGTGACGGGAGGAGGCCCGGGTGGCCCGGGGAGCGAGAGGCGCCGAGCCGGCACCCGCTGACTGAGATCCTACCTTCGAATCGGGAGTTCTAACCGCCCACGATTAATCCAAGTGTACAAGCACAACGACTTGGATTTACAGGGCGCTAAATCGCGTCACAAAACCTGTCAAAGTGCCGCCCTGTCGGAAGCCAAATGGGGGCAGGGGAAATCTGGCAGGGTGGAAAGCACCGAGGATCAACGTGGATACGTTTTTAAGTGTTGATGTGGAGGAAGTGAGGAGTGGGATGATGAGTGGGGAGTGAGTTGATGGTATAATTCTGCCCATCACCAATGACAGTGCACAGCACCACATGTATAAATATTGCATGCCAGTTTTCACGTGGTTTGGCGAAAATCCAACTCTGGTTTCATGTCCTTGGGTTGTGTGCACAACTTTACAACAATGCAGTCTTGTGCACACAGCCTGGAAACCCCCTATAGTCTCTATAACCATCGCCACCCACCCATTCCAAACAATCGGATTTAGGGGTCATGCAAGTGTTGCGTAATACGAATAGAATAGCAGATCGATGAGATTACGTTACCCTCATCTGACTTGGGCGAAGGCTGTGGTTGGGCTACCCAGCTACGTGTTTCCGTCCTCGTGTTTGTCAGGCCTCGGGGCCCGAGCAGTTCTCGCATCTTCAGCGTCGCAAAGGTTTTTCCCCTTCGTTTTAGTCGCCTAATTTTCATAGCCTAAAAGAATGGATTCCTGCGTAAGCGATTCGATGCACATATAATTTACGTAGAGAATGTATTTGCGTCATTCTTGCCCGATTCCGCCTGTAACGGTGCGTCAATTAATTTAGAATACGTTGCTGCACTCGCAGTACTTGCGTGGAATCGCACACGCGATACTGTATGTTTACGAGTTACGTAAATTATACGGCATACAACATCCTGATGTTTCCACTGCACTAATGGGGCGTGCAGAACTCTACAAAAGAGGCGTGTAACATGAGAATTAATGCAAAGGAGACGGAAACATTTGACTGATAGATAATTTATAGGGGGCAGGGAAACGTTCTTTACCGTAAATATTTTGTTAAAACCCGTATGATATGCACTAACCACAAGCAGAGAATGCACGTTTCGTTTTCACGTTTAAAAATAAACTGATGTGGTTGACTATCATGGTAAACCTAATTGCCACGGTGCTATCGGATAAAAACAGCATCTTGATTTCTGCGCTAATACGTGTCTAGTTCTAGTCTTTGGTATGGGCAATATGCTCGGGAGCTAAATTCCAATGTCGGAGGGTTTCGGGAGAGCGTTGCTGTAGTTTTGCTGCACCTCTTTTAATGGAGGACCGTAGACCCCAGTGGTTCGCTGCAGGGCCCGTGGCCGTACGTCCACGTAGCGCGTGTGAACGTGTGGTGACCGCTAGCTCGGAGTGACGTGGGGTGCGGTGTGCAGGCCGTGTGCTGCTCGGACGGGCTGCACTGCTGCCCTTCGGGGACCGTTTGCGATTTGGCCCACGGGATGTGCCAGAAGGGGAAAATATCCGTGCCCTGGCTGGAGAAGACGCCGACGTTTACGCCACGAAATAAGCAGGTGCAAAACTCACTCCGACGAGCTTCGCTCTTTTAACAATACATTTTAACCTGGCTGCAGGAATGCACGGTTGTTTTGTCAGATTTTAAAACTACTTTTAGTTAAAGTGTATTCTCAACAAAGCTTATAACAAAAATATTTGAATGACCACGATATGCGAATCTTGTCCACTTCCAGCTTTCATGGGAAAGGCCATTGCCGAACACGCGGTGTGAAACGAATTTTGCCATTCCGCATCGTCGGGGCCTTTCTCAATCCTCACCAGTTGCCTTGTTTGCTTTCTCCCCCCCGTGGCGCTGGCGCCTCGCTCGCTCGCTCGCTGTGCGACCACCGCAGTGTCCGGACGGGACGTCGTGTGGGGACGACGCCACCTGCTGCCCGTTGGCCTCGGGACAATACGGCTGCTGCTCCCTGGAGGACGTGAGTCCTCTGCGTTTGTATTCGAAGCCGTTTCACTTTTAAAAGTCATTTGCCTCGAGGCAACTTTCACTTGCGAGAAATCTGTTTTGTTCATCGTCGAATTTATGTTCGTGCGGTTTTAGTTTTGTTGTGTCACGTGGCTGTTCTTGCACCGTTTGTGTTTGCGTCATTGCTTTTGTCATTTCGGTGACTTGGGTCACTCCTGCAAATGAGATCATCCAGGACTCTTGAGTTCTCATCTGGCTATACAAATTAAACTTGCTATAGACTTAGGTTTGTTAGTTACACATCTGTGTCATGGTATTGTGCTATGAAGATGGGCTGTTGCCCAAAATGTCACCTCTTATAATCTTTCTTTGCAAGGCTACGGTGTTGTTGATGAATGTTAGTTCGTGTTATTTGTGCTTGTGCACCGCTGCCAACGTGGCATCTACAAGTAATTTTGTATTTCGTTGTTGATTTCCCGACCCTCGCTTAGGCTGTCTGCTGCAGCGACTACCTGCACTGCTGCCCAAAAAACACGATGTGTGACTTGAAGCTTGGAAAGTGCGTTCACGGCAAGTTGTCCATTCCGTGGGTGAGCAAGTACCCTTCCAAGCAGGCGGCTTCTGACGTGCAGTGCGATGCCTTCACCAGCTGCTCCGATCAGAACACCTGTTGCATACTCCCGTCAGGCCAATGGGGCTGCTGCCCTCTTCCAAAGGTGCGCGTGTGTGACATACCGCCACGTAGTTCTTTACGATTGTGCTGTGACTGCATTCCATTGTGTGTTCAGGTTTGACCGCGTGCTCGTTTGGATAGCGTGCCAAACAACGTGCGTGTGGTAGAGACCAGCTAACGTATCGGACGGAGAGAGAGGTGTTTGCGTGAATGATAAGGACATGGTGGGTGAAATGATGATCCTTGGAAGACCTGCACACGTTTATGTTTTGTTTTGGTCGATTGTGACCCCATTTTACAGGCCGTGTGCTGCGACGATAAGGAGCACTGCTGCCCAGAAGGCACGATATGCAACGTGACGTCGCAGACGTGCAACCATGCCGCCCTCAGCCTGCCCTGGAGCACCAAGACGCCGGCCCTCAGAATGACGGGAGAGCCCAACGATGTGCAGTGCGACGATCTGGTCGGCTGTCCCGACGGGAACACCTGCTGCAAGACGCCGGGGGGAGACTGGGCCTGCTGCCCTCTTGTGAAGGCGAGTACCGCTGCAAGCGGCGGGGCGATCGGCGAGACCGATGGAATGATATCCGGTTTCCCTCGCTTGCCACTGCTGGAAGGGTGCACGCGTGGGTCGTTCAATGTTGTGGTGTCCATTGCTCCATGGGAGAGGGCTACGTTGTTCACGGGGGTGCCCGTTTCTTCGGTTGTTGCTGTACCCCGGTGGTTCAGCGGTAGAGCGAGCGACTCACAAGCGGAAGGTTGCGAGTTCACATCCTGATTGGGGGTTGACTCGGCCCATAATTTCTCCAGGGTCTGTAAGATATGGTCCCACTTTGCGGGGAAGTCAACGCTGGTTGCCCGAGGGATAGACTTGTATTTGTCATAGGAATGTGGAATTTCCACTACTGGCTCGGCTGCAAACAGGAGATGACCACCACTTAAATCTTCATTGAGCATTAGATCACGTAACCTTTGCTGTTCCAGTTTACATGAAGATAATTCTAGCCATTTTGATTGAGCCAGCATCCCTATCTCTGCTGATTCTGTTTGTGCCAACAACATTTTAGAATTTAACTTTGAATATAAGCTACTAAATAACTACTATTAGGTAACTTCATGTGCCCGTGTGAAAGCTACTCATCACGAAATGTTTAAAAAAAATTCTCATCAGGCCTCCATGGTTTAAACAAAGTGCATCCTCCAACTCGTAGTCTCCACTTTGCCGCTCGCCTGGCCCCTCTGTGTAGGTGCTCTGAAGAAGAGCTACTGCCAAAAACGTCGCCGATTTTTTTTGTTATAGTTTTAAGGGGGGGGGAGTGTTGTTGATCATAATTAAAGGGTTTTTCTTTTAGGGTTGGATCGCGTAAATATGAACGTGTCGTTTCCCCACCACCATCCGACCACAGCCGATTTAGTAAGGTTTTTCACGTCAACGAGACGTGCCTATTAGTTTCTACTGCAGCACACCGTTGTGTTGGAGAGTAAACCTACAGTATTTACAATTTGAGTACTGTGACGTTTCTTTGGTGATTACAACTAGCTTCATCGGACCATTTGCCAGAATTGTGAAGAAGTCTTCATGCTGTTGACGAGTGCGAGTTTGTTATTGCGCTTGTGCACCACTGCAGATGCAGCAATCGACAAAATCATTTGTTTGGTTTTGCATTTTTTTGTTCATTTGTGTCCAGAAAGCTCTGTAAAAGACCTGCTCCTGTTCGGTTCTTTAAATCGCCCTCTACAGGTTGCTTGTGAGGGGAGTAAGACGCGGGTGCTTGTACCTCCTTGTCCGACGTTTGGTCAGCAAGGAAGAGGAGACCTCCTACCCTCCATAGGGGCTCTAGGGCTCCCGTCTAGTGGAGGCCCTTCCACCGGCAGTGGCGCGAGCAGGAGATTGCAGGGCTGCTCCTTTAGCTAACCCACCGCCGGGGATGTATTCGTGCCGTGCTCCTGTAGTACCCGAGTCGCCGATTTTGAGATTGCGACTCCGGCAACCCGGGGACGTCTCTCGTTCGCAGGCCGTGTGCTGCGACGACCACGAGCACTGCTGCCCGCAAGGCACCACGTGTAACCTGCCGGCGCAGACGTGCGATCAAGGCACCCTCAGCCTCCCCTGGAGCACCAAGACGCCGGCCCTCAGAGTGGCGGGAGAGCCCAACGTCGTGATTTGTGACGATCAGTCCAGCTGTCCGGACGGGAACACGTGCTGCAAGACGCCGGGGGGAGACTGGGCCTGCTGCCCTCTTGTGAAGGCGAGTACCGCTGCAAGCGGCGGGGCGATCGGCGAGACCGATGGAATGATATCCGGTTTCCCTCGCTTGCCACTGCTGGAAGGGTGCACGTGGGTCGTTCAATGTTGTGGTGTCCATTGCTCCATGGGAGAGGGCTACGTTGTTCACGGGGGTGCCCGTTTCTTCGGTTGTTGCTGTACTCCGGTGGTTCAGCGGTAGAGCGAGCGACTCGTAAGCGGAAGGTTGCGAGTTCACATCCTGATTGGGGGTTGACTCGGCCCATAATTTCTCCAGGGTCTGTAAAATAGGGTCCCACTTTGCGGGGAAGTCGACGCTGGTTGCCCGAGGGATAGACTTGTATTTGTCATAGGAATGTGGAATTTCCACTACTGGCTCGGCTGCAAACAGGAGATGACCACCACTTAAATCTTCATTGAGCATTAAATCACTTAACCTTTGCTCCAGTTTACATGAAGATAATTCTAGCCATTTCGATTGAACCAGCATCCCTATCTCTGCTGATTCTGTTTGTGCCAACAACATTTTATAATTTAACTTTGAATATAAGCTACTAAATAACTACTATTAGGTAACTTCATGTGCCCGTGTGAAAGCTACTCATCACGAAATGTTTAAAAAAAATCCTCATCAGGCCCCCATGGTTTAAATAAAGTGCAGCCTCCAACTCGTAGTCTCCACTTTGCCGCTCGCCTGGCCCCTCTGTGTAGGTGCTCTGAAGAAGAGCTACTGCCAAAAACGTCGCCGATTTTTTTTGTTATAGTTTTAAGGGGGGGGGAGTGTTGTTGATCATAATTAAAGGGTTTTTCTTTTAGGGTTGGATCGCGTAAATATGAACGTGTCGTTTTCCCCACCACCATCCGACCACAGCCGATTTAGTAAGGTTTTTCACGTCAACGAGACGTGCCTATTAGTTTCTACTGCAGCACACCGTTGTGTTCGAGAGTAAACCTACAGCATTTACAATTTGAGTACTGTGACGTTTCTTTGGTGATTACAACCAGCTTCATCGGGCCATTTGCCAGAATTGTGAAGAAGTCTTCATGCTGTTGACCAGTGCGAGTTTGTTATTGCGCTTGTGCACCACTGCAGATGCAGCAATCGACAAAATCATTTGTTGGGTTTTGCATTTTTTTGTTCATTTGTGTCCAGAAAGCTCTGTCAAAGACCTGCTCCTGTTCGGTTCTTTAAATCGCCCTCTACAGGTTGCTTGTGAGGGGAGTAAGACGCGGGTGCTTGCACCTCCTTGTCCGACGTTTGGTCGGCGAGGAAGAGGAGGCCTCGTACCCTCCATAGGGGCTCTAGGGCTCCCGTCTAGTGGAGGCCCTTCCACCGGCAGTGGCGCGAGGAGATTGCAGGGCTGCTCCTTTAGCTAACCCACCGCCGGGGATGTATTCGTGCCGTGCTCCTCTAGTACCCGAGTCGCCGATTTTGAGATTGCGACTCCGGCAACCCGGGGACGTCTCTCGTTCGCAGGCCGTGTGCTGCGACGACCACGAGCACTGCTGCCCGCAAGGCACCACGTGTAACCTGCCGGCGCAGACGTGCGATCAAGGCACCCTCAGCCTCCCCTGGAGCACCAAGACGCCGGCCCTCAGAGTGGCGGGAGAGCCCAACGTCGTGATTTGTGACGATCAGTCCAGCTGTCCCGACGGGAACACGTGCTGCAAGATGCCCAGCGGAGATTGGGGCTGCTGCCCTCTGCCAAAGGTTTGTTACGTTTGAATGAAGGCGTGTCATTCACAATTGACGCTCATTTTGGTACGATGGTGACGATGATCTGCAACAATAAATCCACTGTTCGATAAAGGCCTCCCCAAGTCCACCATCTCTCACTGTCCTGCGGTGGCACAATCCATCTAGTGCCTGCGCACCAGCTGATCTGCGCACCAGCTGAGCACTCCCATCTCCGTGGTAGACATTCTCTTAGTGTGTTCCCTGCTCTGTCTGACACAGAAACAGGAATCTTGACCACCGGCCATCATCCATTACAGCGATGATGTGTACTGGTCAAGCCTACTTATTTTGCGTAAGAGTATTGAAACTTGGTTACACTAAATGCTCTTATTTTTGCGTCGTGGAACATATTCGTGCCATCCTGCTTCGGCAGCGTCATTTGTTTTCTCCTGCGGATCCATTTTTATAAGGTCCAGAGAAGAGAAGCTTGATTTTCTATTGTTCGCTTGATTGTGACCCCCGTTTCACAGGCCGTGTGCTGCGACGACCACCAGCACTGCTGCCCGGAAGGCACCACGTGTAACCTGCCAGTTGAACGCTGCGACAAAGGCACCCTCAGCCTGCCCTGGAGCACCAAGACTCCGGCCCTCAGAGTGGCGGGAGAGCCGAACGTCGTGATTTGTGACGATCAGTTCAGCTGTCCCGACGGGAACACGTGCTGCAAGTTGCCGAGCGGAGACTGGGGCTGCTGCCCTCTTGTGAAGGTGAGTACCGCTGAAAGCCGCGGGGCGATGTGTGAGACCGATGGAATGATATCCGGTCTCCCGCGATATCCACCGTTGTGAGGGTGCACGTGGGTCACTCTGACGTTCTGGTTCGAGCCTTAGTGTCGGGCCTAGCTGGCTGCACACATGGTCGGGCCTACGCTCAGGCCTACCTGGCCGCGCAAACGGCGGAGTCTCGGTCGTGCCCATCGATGCAATAATGTGACTAAAAAAACACGGTGCAATCCCTGAGGTCCTTTTACTTTTGAATTTGGATTTATTTACTTTTCTAAGAAATGCATAAACAGGACAGTTGTTTACTTGGCCGAGTTAATTTTAAAGAGTATTTTTTTAATTTATTGGACAACTAGTTACCAGGTTTTAAGGCTTCTTGTCGCATAATCAAAGTAGCGTCCCTCATCAGAAAAAAAATTGCTTGGACATTACAGAGTAAAATCCGGGTAATTGTTGGTCTAGGCTTTCTGATGTATCGGGGATCCCATTGCAATGCACCAGAGTGGGTGGCAGCGCTTTGGAGGATCGGCCACCGCTGTCTTAGTCAGCGATTTTGAGAAGCGACTCCGGCAACCCGGGGACGTCTCTCGTTCGCAGGCCGTGTGCTGCGACGACCACGAGCACTGCTGCCCGCAAGGCACCACGTGTAACCTGCCGGCGCAGACGTGCGATCAAGGCACCCTCAGCCTGCCCTGGAGCACCAAGACGCCGGCCCTCAGAGTGGCGGGAGAGCCCAACGTCGTGATTTGTGACGATCAGTTCAGCTGTCCTGACGGGGACACGTGCTGCAAGATGCCCAGCGGAGATTGGGGCTGCTGCCCTCTCGTGAAGGTGAGTACCGCTGAAAGCCGCGGGGCGATGTGTGAGACCGATGGAATGATATCCGGTCTCCCGCGATATCCACCGTTGTAAGGGTGCACGTGGGTCACTGACGTTCTGGTTAGAGCCTTAGTGTCGGGCCTAGCTGGCTGCGCACATGGTCGGGCCTGCGCTCAGGCCGAGTTAATTGTTGCACATGGTCAGGCCTACGCTCAGGCCTACCTGGCCGCGCAAACGGCGGAGTCTCGGTCGTGCCCATCGATGCAATAATGTGACTAAAAATATGGTGCATCCCTCGGGTCCTTTGACTTTTTGCATTCGGATTTATTTACTTTTCTAAAAAATACATAAACAGGACAGTTGTTTACTTGGCTGAGTTGATTTTAAAGAGTGTTTTTTGCATTTATTGGACAACTCGTTACCATGTTTCAAGGCTTATCATCGCATAATTAAAGTAGCGTCCCTCATCAGAAAAAAGATGGCTTGGACATTACAGAGTAAAATCGGGGTAATTGTTGGTCACAGCTTTCTGGTGTATCGGGGATCCCATTGCGATGCACCAGAGTGGGTGGCAGCGCTTTGGAGGATCGGCCACCGCTCTCTTGGTCGCCGATTTTGAGAAGCGACTCCGGCAACCCGGGGACATCTCCCGTTCGCAGGCCGTGTGCTGCGACGACCACGAGCACTGCTGCCCGCAAGGCACCACGTGTAACCTGCCGGCGCAGACGTGCGACAAAGGTGCCCTCAGCCTGCCCTGGAGCACCAAGACGCCGGCCCTCAGAGTGGCGGGAGAGCCCAACGATGTGAAGTGCGACGATCAGGTCAGCTGTCCTGACCAAACCACGTGCTGCAAGACGGGAACCGGAGACTGGGGCTGCTGCCCTCTCGTGAAGGTTTGTGCTGCGTCTACTTGGGAATTGAGTCGTGCTTATTTCGATACAGTATCCTCTTTATCTTGAGGATACTCTATTTGGATGTTTAGCCAATTCCATTTTGTCTGAATGTATAGTATGTTGAGCTTCTTTCGCACCATACATATTCAACCTTGTTAGATCGAATATCGGAGTATACAGGGAGAGAACTCTCACCCACGAGAGAACAACACTCCCAGGTCCACACACATGGTCTCGTGAATACACAACGCCTTTGTTCTGTACTCCCATATTGTGGTCATCTCACAGAGATCAACAAGTATCGGATCTAGACGATTCACTGTCCCTTGCTTCCAAAGGGTTGGATTGCAGGTGTGTGCCATCATGCCCAGCCATTTGGTTATCCAACAGCTAATACCAAATAGTTACAAGATGTAAATCCCTTAAATATTACTCTGGCTTTTTCATCGCTCAAACTTAATCATTGGATAATTTCCCAACGCTGTAATATTTCACCACATGAAGTTATGAAAATATTGGTTGTGTGAACAAATGTACAAGGCACCGGACACCAGAACAATGGTGACTGACATTTGTGTTGTCATACTAGGCACGGCCTGGGGTCCACAGTGCTCTGCACCTAGGCCTCAACACGGTGCTTTATGGCTCAGCCTCACCGCCGTTACTCGTATCGAGGCGGAATCGGAACCGTGAAGCGTGTATTGGCTCGGCTAGCGAAGACCTCGGACCTTTTGACCAATTATCCGATAAATGTGCTCCTTTCACAATCCCGTGTGCAATTCCAGCGCTCGCCTCTCGCACTTTGCCATCGTTAAGTTTGCAGGACATCGCCGTTTTAAAACTCTCTCGCGCGATGTCGCCCCTAAAGGCCGTCTGCTGCGACGACCACGAGCACTGCTGCCCCGAAGGCACGACGTGCAATGTGCCGGCGGGCTCGTGCGACCAGGGGCAGCTCTCCCTGCCCTGGAGCTCCAAGACTCCGGCCAGGACGCGTCTCACCGCGCTGCTGCCCGCGTCTGCCGCGGCGCGCGGGGGCAGCGTGCGGTGCGACTCGGCCTACGCCTGCCCCGACGGCACCACCTGCTGCCAGCTCCCGCAGGGGCAGTGGGGCTGCTGCCCCTTACCGCTGGTGAGGGCAAGCGACTTGGGCAGCGCATTCCGCGGATGAGGCGTTTTGTCTTATTTGCCGCGTGGGTTTTCGCGAGCCGCGCGTGACGCGAGGCGCGGTTTTTTTGTTTGGGTCGGGCTGCTCGGCGGCGAAATTCCTCGATGCAAAACGGCGCTCGGTTTCATCTTGCGTCGCAGGCGACTGCCGCCGTGCGGCGACGGCCGCGTACGCCACGGCGCTTAACGTTGTGTAGCGGGCCCAACGACGCACACAACAATGCACGCTGCCCACTTTTTAAAAATGTTTTTTTTTTACATGTGAGGGTCGTTGATGTAAAAGTTCAGAAATTGGAACGTTGGGTCGCTGTGGAGACGGGGAGGAATCCGATGAGCTATGAAGCTCTTTTTCACAGATATCCATTAGGGGCAGGTCAGAAAGTTACTACAACAACACACAATTCGACAAAAACGAGAAGAGTGCAAAGTCTAGGAAGGGTACGCAAATCAATAAAAATAAAATCGCTAAAACTAAACTATTTTATTTTACCAGGCAAAGCCCGCTGAGCTATTAGTTATTTTTCAGAAGCGACCTGGCCACATGATGGCCCAACAACAGCGGCTTATCGTGACGTGGACATTTATAGCAGCCAAATAATCCCAACGCGCGTTTCACGTGGAACAATAACGTCGCTTGGTTTGAAAATCGTGTCGCAAAATAATAGTGATGTAGCTGGCGCCAACCTCGCTCGCGTGCTGGGGGTGCTTCTGAGTGTCGGCAAAAGCACAAATTGCTGTCCTGCTGCTGACTGGGGGTCGCTGGGGTTGAAAATGTGGTTCCTGACATCGTGTGCTTCGGGCACCCGTTGCGGTTCCAGTGCCCTTAGCATGTGACATCTCCTCTGTCTTATGCTGTTATAGATTTTTCTATTTACATGTCTAAAGTCTGCTTGTAATATACGGATTGCTGATCCGCAGGCGATGTCGTGGCTTCACTGCCACGTGCTCGGCTGCAGAGAGAATTATTTTGCACCGATCCTGTCGCGGTTTGTGGCTCTGTATGGCGGCGACGACGATCAAATGCGTTTTAATTTTAAAAATTCCGAATGCGCCTTTGCCATTTGCAGGCCACCTGCTGCAGCGACTTTGTGCACTGCTGCCCGAGCGGTTACACGTGTGACCTGGCACAGGCGAGCTGCATCAAGAAGCCCCATTTCCTCACCTGGGCCCCCAAAGCCCCTGCCAAGGCCAGGCCCGCTCAGGTCTTTGACCTGCTGTAATGCCCACCGAATCGGGCGAGCGTGCGTAGTCTGTTCGCACGGAGAGCGTTGTCTGTTGTGTGCTTGGCAGATGCATTCCGACCACGGGAGGCAATCTCGTGTCTGGCAAAAGAAGTGTGCGTTGCTGTCGGAGTGTGGCTCCTGAATTGTCTTTGTGTTCGCTAGCTTGATTTGATGGTGAAGGGTTGTTTGTGTGTGGAGCGTTTTGTGAGCGGGTGTGTGATGTCCGTACCGCTAACACCTTGTACAATCAAAAACCTATTTGGCTGTACAGAAAAATCACGATGATTATTTGAGAAAAAAAAATGTGTGTGAGGTTTTATAGCACAAATGTGTTATTTTAATGTTTACAATTTTTAAAAAGCCTGCTAATTGGTTTTTTTTTTAAATAGCATGAGCAACCCGTGCACGTCCTTACGGCGTGACCATCTCTCCCAGCCAGCCAGCAAAACTTTTTATCTTCCATAGAGCCCTGTCTCTCTCCACCTGTCTCTTGTTGTCTGTGCCGTACATCCCAACGTATATCCCGATTCCTCTATCCCTGTCCCCTCCTTTACCTCTCCCTTCCTGTCTGTTCTTCTCTTCCATCCACTGTCCCACCCACTTCCACCCCCCCATCTCTCCCTATTTCTCTCACCTCTCACTCTCCTTATTCCCACCTCTCCCCTTCTCATCTCAATCTCTCTCTTGCCTCTCCCTAATCCTCCCTCCCACTGCTTGTCCCATTCCCTCACTCTTTGTTTTTAGCTCTCTGTCCATTTCACGCCCGCTCACTCTTCCCCCCCCTCGTCCTTCTACTCGCTCTACACCTCTCCGTCTCTTCCTCCCTCCGCTATCTCCCTCCCCACTTCTCTGTTTCTCTCCTCTATCACATTTGCGCTGGACGCACGGCCGGGGTGGAGGGTGGCGGGGAGGCTTGAAGTCAGCGCGGCGCACGAACCGGCTCAAAGCCGCGGGGATGCGGGTGACGTCATCGCGCAGATGTGCGCAGTGACGTCGCCACCACGCGTGGCACTTGCGCCAGGATGCCAGCCAGCAAAACTTTTTCTAATCTAGTATGATTGTGAACATAAGTATGGCGTACAATGGTTGTCTACACGTTCTGCTGATGAACAACATTGCGCTAATATTCTTAATCAAATAATTAACATGCTTTGATAATAAACATCTGTGCTATGCCACATCCTGGAAGTAGACTGCATTTAAAAATAGGACTAGGCCCTGGAAGGCAAAAACATCATCAAAACATTGCAGCATTGGTAATGTAAAAAAAATACAAACTTTATTGAACGTTAATTTCTGCAGGTAAGTTATGCTTGTGTAAGCGCAATGGCTGCGACCTATGAGCCGCGACGAGATTGAAGAGTTGTTGTTTGGAGGAATTCCGTGATTCTGAAGAGGTTCCCTACACTGGAGGATTTAGACGAATAAACATTTGTTGCACACAGAACAAAATGTAGTTTGGAGTTTTTCTAACCCTTGCAGAACGTGGGACTTTAAAAGCGTGCCGCCGTTTGCCATGGATGAATATTCTATCGGTCACGCGTGGAATTTGCTCACGATTCTGTGCACGGAATGGAAATACGCGGCCACGTTGACGTCGGTCGAATCTCGTGAGGTTGTCGCACTGTGTGAAGGGCACAGGCTCTGCTGGGAGCAGGTGTCGCATGTGAACATCGTGAGACTGAGCGAGCCATTGGCTACTGATGATGTCGCCCTCGCTACCCATTGGGTGACAGGGCGACAGCGGCAGCATCTTGCCGTTGTCTTTACCGTCCAACTCGGCCACTCGCTCCACGCTCGGGTAAAACGTGAGCGAGGTGTCGCGTCAATAAGTGGCCTTCCCTAGGTCATGCACTCGGTGGACGAGCAGTAAAATTCAACTTTAAAAACGACGAGTTGACATGTGTAAACCGTCTCGCAATCGCCAGACTTGATGTTTTAAGACACTTACTGGCTTTGAAATAATTACCATGAAAATCGCACGACTGGGTTAATGAACATGCAAAGTCTTCTTTGGTTCTTTCGGTAAAGTCACGTAGAATGAGAATAAAATAATACATTTATAAAATAAAATAACACTAATATTCTCACGAAAGCTTTAAATCGGAACATGCAAAGGTTGAATGCATTTTAAAAAAACCCTCCACGTTGAAGGCCACTGCAGAGGTTTGAAGTGCCCGAACGACTCTGGTGGAGCGTTCGTCCAGCTGCGTTGCTGGGTGGCCGCTTCCTGGGTGCTCGTTGACACCAGGACGCGGCCGCTATGCGCGGGGCCCGCTTCAGGTCATGGGAAGCTCGCGCACAATGTCCGCATCGGGCCGGAAAGCTGAACTTGGCAATGAAATGAAAAACCGCGTACTCCCCATAAAGAACAACTTGAAAGCAGCCAACACAGGCCCGTTACCCCCCCCCCCCCCCCCAGCACTGTGGAGACGAGGGTCGGTGGACCGTACAGATGTTGCGAAACTCCCCGTGGGCGTCGAAGATTAGCCATAACTCTGGATCGCCAGGAGAAGCGAGTACAGCAAAACTGCGGACTCCACGTGCTCCTTCTGTATGGGATGGTCGTGCCCCCTCGCCCGTTTGGGGTTTCCCCTGGTCACCTCCGACGTAAACTCTCCATGAATTGGCCGATAACACCTTCATGTATAGAGCACTGCAGAGCTGGGGCAATCGTTGATGTGGGCTCATCGCGCGGCTGCCTTCCCCACTCGTCTTTGGGACCCCCTCGAAGCCTCCGGTTCGTTCTTTTTCGAGAGCGAGCGAATGGTGTGCAGCACGTTGCAAGTTGGCGCGAGTCCGTGCCGTGTCATGCGGATCGGAAACTGGGACACTTGGCACGGCGGGACACGCGTCGCGGTGTTCGCAACGAGAGGCGCGCTTGGATTTGCATTGAGAGGCGGTGAGGAAGCACGCGGCTCAAGAAAACGAAGGCAGGACAGCGTTGGCTTGAGAAGTGTAAAAGTGGGGCTCGAAGGGACGACGATGGCTAATGGAGCGGTGATGAGATGGCAGCAAGCGGAAGGCTCCTGAGGCCATCCTCCCAAACCCTCCTTGGGCTGCGAGGCGGCCAGGAGGTGGCTGCTGGAGAAGCGGACTGAATGCACACACACATACGTGTGTGTGCGTGGACCCCCCTAATGGAGCATCTTCGCCGGTTAGAAACATTTAGGCTGGCCTGCCTACGATCCATCCTGGGTTTAACCAGGCTGGATTGTGTGAGGAGCTCACAAATCCTTGAAAGTCCCATCGGTGAGCTCCTCCGGCGGGGAAGGCTGCGATGGCTGGGTCATGTAGCCCGCATGCCCAGCCACCGCATGCCTAAACAGCTTTTGTTCGGCCGGATCGAGGGGGCCAAATGGGCGCGGCACGGGCTAGAGAAGAGATGGAGTTATGTGGTACAGGAGGACGTGGAGCTGAGTGGACTTGCCGATGACTAGTACCAGCGGTGTCAAGATCGGCCTCTGTGGAGGAGGCTCGTGAAGGACGCTACTGGGCAGTTGGAGTCAGTCGCCCTCCAACAACAACGGAGGGCGGAGGAGCGACGCTCACAACAACGAGCGGAGCGCCGGGTGGCTAAAGCACAGCAAGTTGGTACAGTAGGGGGCACAAGTGGTGCATCAGCCGGTCATCTCGGTCATCCCGGTCGACCCGTGGCACCTGGGTCTTCCTCGTGACCTGCCAGCGGGCGTTCGACACCGCACGTGGCCTCAAGGTGCACATGGCCTGGCACAAGCGTCGTGGTGACGTCATCGAATGGCGGTTGTTGTGTGTGTACACGTGCGTGTGTGTGGCGCTTTTGTGTGCGTGTTCTCCGGTTTTCTCAAAACCTGGACCGCTCCTGCATTGAATTGGCCAAACAGCCCCCCCCCCCGAGTGTGTTGGACCCCTCCAGCTACCAAGTCTTCAAAATCTCCGCGAGCTGTGTGTGTGAAATCTGTTGGGTTTGTATTTTGTTGTTTTCTCTCTTTTCAGTGTCGCTGTTTTATTTTTTTTGCTCCGATTTACTGTTTGCTTCATGATAGCAAGGTGCACTATGTTATTGCTGATTGTCACTTCGGTGAGCCAGGCCACGCTTGCAAATTAGACTCCTGGTTTTTCAGACCCCTCTTTAAACAAAGTCCATCCGAAAATAAGAGCATCGCTATTTTATTATAATGACGGTGGTGGTGAAGGTCTAATTCGTGGTGGTGGCGGCGGCGGTGGTGGTCGTCGCTCTTTGTCACCACCACCATCACCCACAGCGGGGCGTTGCGCTCATCAGTAAACACGGCCGTGCGTGGGGGGCAATGGAAAGGCGGCCCCCAGCGCACAGCTGCCGTCACTACGGCAGTCGGCGCGGCTATGGCCGGCGGTGTGCTGCTGCTGCTGCGTGCCCGCGTCTACGCATAAAAACGATGCCGCCGCTGCTCGGGACGCTGCTGCTGCTGCTCGCCCTCCTGCCCTGCGTCGCCTGCGCGTCCAAGGGCGATAAGCAGAGCCGTGGCGGCGACGATGTAGGAGGTGAGCGGGAGGAGAGAGAAAAGAGAGAGGGGTGAGGTCTGGGCTGCGTCCGTTGTCCGTGGTGTTGTTGACCGTGGTGGTGGTGTTGTTGTTGTCCGTGGTGTTGTTGACCGTGGTGGTGTTGTTGTCCGTGGTGTTGTTGACCGTGGTGGTGGTGGTGTTGTTGTCCGTGGTGTTGTTGACCGTGGTGGTGGTGTTGTTGACCGTGGTGGTGTTGTCCGTGGTGGTGGTGTTGTTGACCGTGGTGGTGGTGGTGGTGGTGTTGTTGGCCGTGGTGGTGGTGTTGTTGGCCGTGGTGGTGGTGGTGTTGTTGACCGTGGTGTTGTTGACCGTGGTGGTGGTGTTGTTGACCGTGGTGTTGTTGACCGTGGTGGTGTTGTTGACCGTGGTGGTGGTGGTGTTGTTGACCGTGGTGTTGTTGACCGTGGTGGTGGTGGTTGATGGGTCCGCTGCTTTGTCTGGCGCTGAGGGCGGATTCAGCACCGCGCGCCTGGACAGCAGCGCCCATTGTCTGGCTCCACGCACAGCGCCTACAAGCAGCAGCAGCATCCATGATGACTCGTAGTAGTAATAACACGACGACGGTAATAATCGTGGGCGTGATTGTTGCGTGTGTTACATCATTTTGCGGCGAATTATCTTACATAGGAAACGGGGGGGGGGGGGGGTGTCCCCCTTTCGCCTGTGAACATCTGGCAGTGCATCAGCTCAAGTGAGCGCTGACTGCCGATGAGACACTGTGTGGAAACCGCTCCAGAGTTTTGGGTGTACTGAAGAAACGCCGATGGAAATATCGACTCCCAGAAGGCCGCGTGGCCCATGGGCCGCGTTTTATTGTGACTACGACAATTATGTTTTGTCTGTAACGAGAGAGGACGCGTGAGAGGGGCTGCAGTCTCATCGTCTGCTTGTGCGCTACTGTTGTGACAACCCCGCTCCCCGTCGCAAGCGCGGCACCCTCACGACCGCTGCGTTGCTGCACCACCACCACCACTGCCATTGTTGTCGCATAGACGGTGCTGTCCGTGCGATAGCCCCACGAGCACTGGGCCATGCAGGACTGCTCTACTTATCGATGTTTACTCGACTGTCGGTGTCTTCTCCGTCAAATAGCTACCACCGTCGCTTTCATTGTCAGCGTCAGAATAGAAGAGCGTTATCATCGGCGCCGATCGATCCACTGCTGGATGAAGGCTGTCCTCCCACAGCCGTCGCCGGTAGCCGTGGCGGGCCACGTGGATGCCGATGGGAGCATCCTCGGTTGCCGCCGCGTGCTGCATTGTTCGCGAGATGTCGTGGCAGTGCCCAGCTCGCCGTCGCATGTCGGGATGCAGTCGATCTGCCGAGCTCGACATTTCGTTTTTTTTACGCCGCTCCGGATACTTCAACTGAGCGAGTAGCAGCAGCAACAGCAGCAACAACAGCAGCAGCAGCAAAAGCAGCAGCAACAGGCCGCCCTTGTTGCTGGAGTCGTGCTTAGTCAACGTCGTCGTCATAATCGTTGTTATCGTCGCTGTTGTTGTTATTGTCGTCGCTTGCACTGCTGATGGTTTACTGCGGCGTTCCGCGTGAACTGGACGAGTCGACCACGCTGCTGCTGTTGTTGTTATCGTCGCTGCTGCTGTTGTTATCGTCGCCGCTGCTGCTGTTGTTGTTCGAGACGAGAGCGCGACATCGCATCGGGCAGGGTCCATTTTACAACAACGGCACAGACATGCACCCCACTGCAGCGCAGATCCCCACCACACTGACACCACCACACCCACCACACTGACACCACCACCACCATACTGACACCTACCATACTGACACCACCACCACACTGACAGCACCACACCCGCCACACTGACACCACCACCACAATACTGACACCACCACCATACTGATACCACCACCACCATACTGATACCACCACCACACTGATACCACCACCACCACCACCAT